GGTATCCTTGAATTCTTACTATGTTTGCTACTTTATTTATATGGTGGCTTTTTTTTTTTTAAATTTATTCCTGTACCCTTTTAATGGTTTGGGGCTTTACTTGAACACTTTATTTATTTCTAGTTTTGTGTATGTGTGTTTGTATGTGCACCATATGTGTATAATGCCTGTAGCAGCCAGAAAAGGGCATCAGATCGCCATGAACTGCCTCTACAGACATTTGTAAGTCAAATTGTGAGTGCTGTGAATGTTTTTTGGGAGAGCAACAAGTGCTTTTATCTCTGCAGCTCCTTGGGCACTTTGTAATGATGTTATTCTCTAACTGCATTTGCACATGGGTAATACGTTCTAATGCTTACCCGTATTTCTCAAAGGCTCATTTACAAACAGTCCATGTGTATTTCCAAATAACATTATACAGTAGTAGTTGGTAATACATTTCCCTTATGGTAACAAACGACTTTCTCCTGACTGCTGCCTCTGTCCTACCACTGCTGGCCTTCCCTAACTCATAAACCCTGTATTTACAAGGGCAGGTAAAACATTCACAATCAGTAACTCCTCGCTAGTATTTTGAACAAAATATCATGGACTGGGTCAATAAAAAGTAACAGACATTTTAAAAATTCACTTCCTTACACTTGTGGCTCCTAATTCTTTAATCATCATAATCATCAGCTCTTTAGATCCCTCGCAGGCAACTCTAACTCCTTCGCTCTGCATTTCTGACGTTTTCTTTGAGATGTTATATTCAAATTGCCTTTCTTTTTTGGCTTTTAGTATAACTTTTAAGAAGCTATAGATAGCTGGACATGACGTGACATGTAAAATCAAAAAAGCAATACCCCCAAATTGTAACCAGTGGTATAATTGCCAGACCTGTGGGAATGGATGCTTGCTGTGTGTACTTCGGTTTGCAGCAGCAGTATATTGGGAAAACACTGTTAAAACATGGCTCAGAATTTTGGAAATATGATCCTTTCATTATTTTCGACAGCAAAATTTCCTTCTTTTGCAATGGTTCAATGACAGTCCAGTGAGACCTACTGAAAGCCATGGCCACTGTAGCTTTCATGTAAAGGCTGGCAATTCGCCTATGCCTGAGCAACAGCATCAGGTAGATTACCAAAGCTCCTCCATTTCTCCACAGCGCTCATGAACACTGTAATCTCATGACATAGTCATTCATTCAATCACAGCATAATACTCTTTTAGGTATCTGCTATGTGTCTTCTCTGGGTTGTGACCTGGGGTCATGGTAGCTAAGCATCCAGCACAAAGCACTTGGTCTTTGCCTGGAGGAAGCTCCTTTCCTTCCTTCCTGGCCATAGTGAGACTAGACAAAGCCATTTGAACTCAGACACAAATGGCAATTTCCGTCTCCCTTTACTATGTTGCTCACTGCCCACATACTTGATTCGCAAAAGCAAGCATGGAGCTGGTAGATAAATGAACAGCAACCTATAATTAAACTCGCTGAATATCAGAAAAGATTGGGGAATTCAGTAGATGAAATTGAGAAGATGCTTTGCATTTTTAGAACCCAGGAAACCTAAGTATTATGAATGTTGCTTGATGGGGGTTTCACCCTGAGCTGTTCCATTGTTCTGATATCAGTCTGTGACTGGAAAAGTCAGCGATTGGGGTTGAGTGTGTGTTATCACAGTTTATTGACTCTTCTTGCGCACAGGAAACAAAGTCTTTCCTGCTTAGTTAACTGATGTTGTGTAGATAGCACCCAATACAATCTCTACCATTGACTGCTAAACCTTGTTGTTTCCTGTGGCCAACCCTTAGTTCAGATAGGGCCTGTCCCATTGTGAATCTTCTATCATTACAGAGCCATTGAAAAAGACAGTTCTGTTTTAGAATAGCATCTGGGTGGCTTCTCAGGGACACCGATTTGTAGCATTGTTCACACTTCTTACTACATCTTATTTCCATAGGACAGTCCCTTTCATTCTCCTTCTGCGTAGGACTGTCTCTCCTTGCACCACCTTGCTTATAACCCCATTCTCTTCCAAGACGCTCCTAAAAAAGCACTACTTATGCATGTCATTTAAAACTCATTGACTACACTACTGGAACTTTCTGTTGTACTCTGCTAATTGGAATAGTTCACTCAAAAGCCAGTGTCACTGTGCTTAGGGGATAGGCTGTGTATTTTAATTCTTTCCCCTACCAGCTGAGGGAAAAAGGCATGCTCTTTAATGTTGCTGAATCCCAGGTACAGGCAACATAGTTCTGTGGAGAGACTAAAGGTACCTATCTCCTGGGTTTTAAATAAAGATTAAAAGCAACAGGAGCAGCGGCAGGATGTCCAAATTGTCTAATTGTCTAGCTCAGTGTCCAGTACCTGCTGTTTGGTTGCTGTTGTGGTTGCTACATTCACTTTAGCTAAATTAGTTCCACCCAAGAGGTTATGAACTCCAAGAACTCTGAGATCACATAGAAAACATTTATTCTCGATATCCCACGGAAGCATGAAGTTCAGTAAATATATGTAGCATCAATGGCTGAAAGGTGAAAAATGAATTAGTTAATGAACTAAATTCAAATCCCAGGTACTTTACTTAAAAGATGAGATATGGTCCGTTTGTCCGTACAGTGCTCCACAATTACACACAATCGATGTGGTTACATAGCATGAAAATTGTTCATATCTGTGAAACTAAAAGCATTCTTTATGATTTCTATTTTGTAACTGTATACAGACTAAGAGGGATTAATTTCAAGTTAGGATCATCTAAACATCTACACTTAAGAAATTACTATTGGCATTTTAATGAAATGTTATTTTACAGCTTTAAAGTTCATAGCAATATAATTAGTAATATGTGTAATCTTTATTGCCAGTCTTAATCTTTTTTATATGACTGAAAAATTATTTTATGGTCGTACAATTAAAATAATGCTAAAAATGTCAGCATAACAGAATTAGACTAAAGTAACTACTACAATATTGTACCCTAAACCAGCTAATATAAATGCAAAATACTTTCTACAGGCTATTTATTTGAACTAATACATGGTGAGGGATTTAAGGAGTAGTTTGTGCAATGAAATAAAAAGAAAAATAAGCACTGTACAGCAATCTTTGCTATTGTTTAGCACGAGGGAAAATTAAATAGGTTTATATATAGGCCACTTGAGGAAAATGTATTAAAAGCCACACCACAACATAGTAAATACAAAGGCAACTGGCAGGCAATGCTCCATTTTATAGGTTTTTATAAATACTCCATTTGCAGATTTTAAAGGGAAGTCTGAGGTGCTTAAAGTTGTCATTTTACAAATGACTGTATAATATTGACTATGAAACCAAACTGAGTATGCCCAGAACACTTTGTTAAGTTTGTTCTTTCCATTTTCACACATGTATACGATGCTTTCCCCACCCACCTTCCCTTCTGCTCTTATCAGCCCCTCTCTTCCCTACACAGCCCCTTTCCATTTTTTATGTGCTTTTGTTTTGTTTTGGGACCCAGTGTTTGTAACCAGGGCCATCTGGTGAGCGTGGGTGCCCAGAATTCTAATGGTACATTTTATAAAAGGATTTCAAAAGACAGTTGTTCTGTTGGCACACCAGAATAGTTAGAATTTTTCACAGTGCTTTCACCTGTTGATTCATGATAGTACATATTAATTTGTTGACATTATTTTTTAGAACATAGAAAAAAAATGAAAAAAATCTAAAACAAAATTCTATTCTGTATGGAAAACTGGAAAGTACATAAAAACATGCAAAAAATAAACCACCCAGAATTTTGCCACTATTACACTATCATACTATAACAGTATTTCTATTTCTAGTGTTTGTTTCCTTACGAATACTTTTAAAATAATTGTCTTTATTGAACTTTTTGTTGAACATAAGAACCAAATAGATAATTTTGTATATTTTGCATAAAGACCAACTAATGTGCTGAATATGCTTCATTTCTTTGTAACATTTTAAGACTTCTTTTTCTAGATACTCATAGGGTATTGATGTTTTTATATTTATTTCTAATTGTTATAGATATTCACTTTTAAAGCCTCACTAACACTACATTTTTAATCAGTTTTTAACTCATTTCTTAAAATCATCAAATCATTAAAATCCTGTCACCTTAGGACAGAAGCACCGATAAACTCTGAAAGAATATTTTTTTGGGGGACAAGGTTTTTATTATTATTAAATATACTTTATTCTTTTTTATTGATTTTTATTGAGCTCTATATTTTTCTCTGTTCCCCTTCCTTGCCTCTCCCCCCTTCATACCTCCCTCAAGGTCCCATGCTCCCCAATTAGTCAGGAGATCTTATCTTTTTCTACTTCCCATGTAGATTAGATCTATGTAAGTCTCTCTTAGGGTCCTCATTGTTGTCTAAGTTCTCTGGGATTGTGGTTTGTAGGCTGATTTTCTTTGTTTTATGTTTAAAAACTGCCTATGAGTGAGTACATGTGATAATTGTCTTTCTAGGTCTGGGTTACTTCACTCAAAATAATGTTTACCAGCTCCATCAATTTGCCTGCAAAATTCAAGTTGTCGTTATTTTTGTTTTTGCTGTGTAGTACTCCATTGTGTAAATATACCACATTTTCCTTATCCATTCTTTAGTCAAGGGGCATTTAGGTTGTTTCCAGGTTCTGACTATGACGAACAATGCTGCTGTAAACATAGTTGAGCATATGTCCTTATGGCAGGATTCAGCATCCTTTAGATATATACCCAAAAGTGGTATTGCTGGGTCTTGAGAAAGGTTGTTTCCTAATTTTCTGAGAAATTGACACACTGACATCCAAAGGGGCTGTATCAGCTTGCATTCCCACCAGCAATGCAGAAGTGTTCCCTTTTCCCCACAGCATTTCTCTGGTGACTAAGGATGCTGAACTTCCCATTCTATAGGCTGTCATTTCTTGATTGCAATAATTTTAATGCCCTGATACCTTTAGGGGAAAAGCTAGCTTACTACATTGTATTCCACATTTCATTTATTTATTTTTAAATCGGCAGGTCCAGGCACACTGGGAAAGCTCTACAAGGTCTCAGCTGCCCAAGGTCCAGAGACAGCAAGTAACTCCTTTCATGACCCTTGACCATCAGGTATTCAACCAGACTCTCAAGAGCACACCACCTCCAGCACCAAGCTGTATGCCTCAGGGAGAGCATGGACCTATGAGCCCGGACAGTGATGCTGCTTGTACAGGAAACCCATTCACAAAACTGCTGACTCTTGGGAGAGAAGATGGTCGTGCGGAATGGCATGTATGTTCAATAGCTGATTATGAAGTCTATCTTAAGTGCTAAGAATTGAAAGTGTATGAAAAGAAATGTGTCTTTACGAATTGGTCTGCAATTATTAATCATATGCAAATTAATTATGCATAACAAATTATACGTGTTCATTTTAATACTAAATTAGGTAGTTCATTTTAATACTCAATTAGTTATCAATGAGCCACTAACAAACCTTTGTATTTAGAAGGTTGATTTCTAATCATAAAGAAAACCTAAGTTTTCTGGGTAACTTTAGTTGAATTTATCAATATCTTAAATATCTACAGATATAGCACAACCAATAAAACCCCAGAGACAGATATTAGGACTCAAGCTGAAAGACCACAGAAGTAAAACAGACAACCACTAAAGAGCTCTTGCCTCTACAAAATTTTCAGACAGAAAAGAGCGTGAATTTCTGTCTCATCCTGCCTTATATTCCATGCCTTTGATCCCAGCAGTAGAGAGGAATATTCTATGGCTAACTAGTGCGGTTGCCAGAATTAAAGGTGTGTGACACCACTGCCTGGCCTGTATGGCTGACTAGTGTGGTTAATTTTGCACTCTGAGCATCAGGTAAGCTTTATTTTTTAGATCATAAGCAAAATATCACTATACATAGATTTGAAACCTATACTAGTTATATAAAAAAACACTAATTTTGTGCTCTTAAAATGTTCACTAAAATAAAATCAATTATCTTATTACATGAAATATTTTATGGAATTATAAATATATTTTTACATTTAATTTTTAATACTTTTTTAATTTAAATAGATTCTTATCACTTACTAAATAGCTGGCATGGAGTGATGCTGAGACTTTTTCAGAATAAATAAGAATAGCTAGTGTTATGAAACATGTTCTTCTTTTAAATGAATCTTCAAAAATACTAAAAAAAGGAGGATGCAGAGTAGGCAATAACTAAAATTTGGAAAAATCTTTAGCAACTTCTTGTAGATAAGTTATGACGATTACAGACGGACTTTCTTTTCCTTTTGCTTCTTTGCCTTGATCCCATGGTGGAACTTTGTTCTCTCCCACCTGGGGCATCTTCTTCTAATCTGAATGGTCTGTTCAGGTTGATATTTTTCCAATATTAACTTCACAGTCTGCAAGAGCAAAGGCAGAACACTCAGGGTTTCATTTGAATCCAAACAGGAAAGGAAGATTTTTAAAGAGCTTTATGTTAACTTGAAAAGTAGGAAAGAATGAAGACCCAATAGATTATTAAATGAAGAAAAAAAAAGATTATCACTCTGTAGGACTCTCTGAAATACAAAGTTGAATGTGGATCCCTGTATGTGTATTTAAACATTTTAGTAGTGGGACTATATGTGGGGTGTGTGTGCACATGTGTGTGTATGTATTATGCATATATGTATGTATGTGTATATGCATTTGGAACTTTCAAAAGTGTAATACAGCACCAGTTCTCTTGTTATGTGCATGAAGAACACAAACTACAAGACGGATGAGAGCGATCTGCACAGTAAATATTAGAATTAAACCCAATACAATTCATTCTTCAACCACCACATCCAAAGTTTATTTTTTTGTAATAATTATTGATTCTTAAAGAAAAATCAAGTTCCATAGGTAATGATTATGCCCGTCAATTTTGGTAAAATCTAGAAAGTAGTCTTTTGTGTCATGAAGGCAGCATGCATCAGTCTTCTGGGTTTGCCATGAGATCTTTGTTTCTATTCTTTGGCTCATGCCTCACCTTTGCCTTTATGGTTATTGTTGCTGTTCGATATAGAGCCTCACTATATCCCTTACACTGGCCTTGGACCCAAGATCCTCCTATCTCAAACTTTCCAGAGATGGAATTACAGATGTGTGACTAAAAGCCTAGAAAAAGGGTTAGTTTGATTTTTTTTGATATTTTAAAACTTCAAAACATAATGGCATGGTTTGTGCTCAGGAGATAGTGGTTATTGATATTTGTCTTATTCCCTGTTTCCTTCTAAGCTATCTCCTTCACTAACAAAAGGGAATCTCTTCTTCATCCAGTGATAACTATAGTATCACCTCATAGGTCTGGGAGAGTATCCTCAGGTTTAGAGGTGATGATTGGAATTAGAGATAAGTGAGAGACTGAAGGTCTCTGGCACAGAGATAGGTAATATTAAGAGAAACACTTCACAGTGTATGTTTTCCCAGCATGCAATTGGCGTTTGTACTTACAAGAGTGAAGGTGCCTTCTACACTAATGATTGCTCCTAGCTTAGAGATTTCCTTCACCCTTTACTGCTGTTTTATTATCATTGGACTCATACATGGCTCTCTACAGTTCACTCATCCTTATGTCTTTTCTTTTCCTCCTCTCATTCATTCTTAGACATTTGTCTAAATGATTTTAATTCTCTCTGGAACACAAACTTGAGATCCCCCCACACACCCATCTTGAGGTTTTTTCCTTGATGATTCTCCATACAGATTTGGTACCTCAATGACTGCATTCATTATCACATTTTCACACCATATGATGCATTTTAAAGATTCGTTAATATTTTTTCATTCTTTTAGTTTGTTATTCATTGATTAAAATGTCATACCTTACTCATGGATAAATTTTTGTTCATTCATAACTAGTGGATGCTGTTGGCAGGTTAGGGAGTAAACGAGTAATGAGTCCAGTCAACCTCTGTTCCTTGCATTCCACTGTTTACTGGTTACTCCTCAATAGTGTTTACTCCATGAGGGCAAGAACGTCTCACTGCTGTCACCTGTAGTAATTCCTCTGGTTCTTGAAAGGTCTGAAAATAAATATTGCTCGATAAATATTTGTCAATTCTTATTTGAATTGATTCATGAAATTATTGACAAATCATATTTGGACGTATCCTGATAGAGTCTCTCAAGTCTTGATTCAAGTTGACCAACCACCTTTCTTAGAATACAGCAGAATTTGGTTGAAGGCCATTTAATGCTTTTGTAAGTGTTTTCTACTGATTATTTTTGTGTATACCATGAGAAATCCAAAATTCGACCATGCCTCTCAACTCACCACTTACACCTTCTTCAGTTTACATGTGTTAAGGTTTCACTAAAGGCAGTACGGTGGGAAGAGGAGAATTAGACGTTAGCTGGTTGCTTGTTTCATCTCTATTGCTTTGATGAAATACTCCAACAAAATGAAAATGGGGCTGGGGGAGAAATGGTTTGATTTAGCTGACAATTTGGGGTGTGGGGAAGTCAGGTGGTAGGAACTTGAAGTAGCCACACCACACCCATAGCCAAAAGGAGAGAATTAAATGCATACATGCTACTGCTGAGCTCACTTTCTTCCTTGTACAGCCCAAGGTCTAGCCCAGAAAATGGTGCCCACATTTAGGGTGGATCTTACCACTTCAGTTTACACTCTTAGAAACAAAATCTTTTACAGGTATATCCATAGCACCGTGTAGTCCAGGCCGTACTTCACTGAGAGGTGACTCTTGTGTGAAGTTCACAATCACAGCTAATATTACAAATATTTGGGAGGGGGGAGGTATAGAAAGAGCAAAAGAAGCACACGGTCTTTTTCAAAAGTGTAAACCTTTAAAAGCCTTCCTTATCTACTGGTTATTTTTTAAGCCTCTCTGCAGAGAAAAGGAAGCTTTAAGAACTGAAAATGCAAATAAAGATTCCATTGAGGTTAGAACTATAGATTCAGAGTTCAGGAGTTCAAACTTGCCTCTGCCACTCAGGTAATCTGGAACAAAGTGACAATTTCTTTTCCTTTGGATTTCTTTTTATATGATGAGGATAATTTCCTCTCCTGGGCTGCTGTGAAGCTTAGATAATTGGAATATGTCAAACACTACAGACAGTGCCTAGCACATCTCCCTCACTATGCAGGTATATGGTACTGTTGCTGTTTAAGGGGTTTGTGTGTACCCTTGGTACTGTATCTTTAGTTACAGAGATGAAGAAAATGGTATGTTTTCGTATCATCTAAATTCCTGTGCATTAGTCAGCTAAAAATTCACCACTGACCTTTGGACATCTACAAAGCATTTTGAAAGAAGACAGATGGTATGGAAGTCCTCTGTCAACATGTTGAGGCTGTGGACTTTGGTCTGAAGCACAGCACAAGAAGCACTCTGCTGATCTAGATGCTGATTGCGGCAAGGTTCCCCCTGGGGGCCTTGTCACTAGGGAGCATAGGGAAGGTGATGCAGGGAAAGCAGCCAATCAGAGCCATGGACCCAGCTCTCAGATAGCATGAGCTTTGAAATACACAACTAAGTGTTTTAAAACTTAAAGATGCGAAATAAAACTCTCAGTCTTCACTAAAGTTCTCCCTAATTTCAAATGAAAGCGCCACTTTAACCCTTACTGACAGTATTCTGAATGCATTGGATGCCATTAGATGGAAATTGCTGAGGTTATGGACAGTATGGCATTGTGTTCAAGAGGAAAGAACACACATTCTTCCACTCATGCAAAGGACAGTAAATATTTACAGGCCCCCAAAATGTCAAAACCCCTAAAACTGATAATCACTTCAGCTTATAAAACAAAGTAATTTCATTTGACTGGGAAATGGTGTTTAGTTCTATACTTTTGAAATAGACAAGACAACCAATGAATATTTCTAAATACTTGGCACTAAAAGATCATATAATGTTGAGAAAAATTATAGGGCTCCACTGTTCTCTCTTTGTGTGTGTTTGTACATATGTGTGTGTTTATGTGTGTATCTCTCTGTATGTTTTTACATGTATATATGTATCTATCTACATCTATTTGTCTATCTATCTATCTATCATCTAATAATCTATCTATCTAATAATCTATCTATCATCTATATATCTATCTATCTATCATCTATCTATCTATATCATCTATCTAATATTCAAGCATTCAATTCTGTATCTAATCTGCTGTAGCATTATGCAGGAATGACTTAATTTTGACATTTCCTATTTGAAGCTTTGCCTATAATCAACTACCTTCATGAGGTCCTGATTTCTTTTTGACTCTTCACTATGATTAAT